CTGAGACTCTCGTTGAAAACAAACCCTCTCTACGTTCCATAGAATATGGGGACCACAATCGTCGACTGGCTTTTAGTAGTCCCGATAGCTATCCTGATTATCCCCTCTTAGACACTTGCAAACCTACCCAGCCTTTCTTCATTCCTGATGTCGGTCCTCGTCTTTACCCTTCACATTTGCTTCTGATTGGGACTCCTATATCAACCTTTATCCCGGGAATAAAAGACATCAAGACTCTGGAAATCCGAGCTGATGCTGAAGAAGTCATGCACACTCTTCGAAACCTTCCCCGACCCAATCAATTGGATGAAATTATCATCGTGCGTCAGGAAGGTCAAATCAAGTCGATCGATAATTTTACAGTGTTGGACAACTCTCCGAGCTCTTCTGTCGATGGACTTGAAATCAAGACGGACAATGATTTTATAGGTATGTTATTCTATCCATGATCATAATGCATGTCTACCCAGATAATAATAATCTTCTAGGCGAGATCACGAAATTCTTGGTCTGCAACGGCTCTTCGATCTTTCAGATTCTTCCTTCCGTTAAGGTCGTCACACCAACGTTCACCGAGATCATAGGAAAGAATGTGGAACATTGGTGGACAACATTGAATGGACTGACGAGTTCAAGTCCAAATGTTCCAGTTAACCCTCAATTTCTACTTTCTCAACCTTCAGATATTATTCCATTGGACCATTTCTACCAGTATGTATAAGACCGCATCCAGCATGTTCACACCCCCTCCAGTAATCAGTAACGTTCTAGTAATTTCTCAACTAGTATATGTAAAGTTTTAGGTTATTCTCAAAATTGTCATCTACCATACCAATATCATCGTAATATTCCCTTCATACTCGAGTGCTCCACCCTCAATGTTTCTTCACAAAAACTACTGCGAGTCCCAGTTGTCCGGTCCTAGAACGCATGTTCAAAGCTTCGAAAGAGTATACCACAGACAGGCTCACAGTGGCAATAACTCGTGAGAATTTGTCTCATTCACACGCCTTTCTATGGTAGTATGCCCTTCTTTCAATTAGTTGCACATGCATATTGTATACCATGAACTCGCCACTCAGACATGTAAGCATCATCCGTTTTACTCTAGTATGAGCTCCCTCACACTAATATGTCTAAGCCTCTAGTCGTAATGGAAGACATACACATTTCTGATATAGCATCTCAGATTCCGAGCAGCCCCCACGATGTACAAGACTGTGACGAACCACTTCAGGTGCAACAGTATTTGCAGCGACGCTCAACATCATCAGGATGAGTCGACACCGACCTATGTTCCATTCATGGAATTGCATGACAATTTCAGACGTCTAACCATCTGTGCCGAACCAGACGGACGTTTTGGTCTGGCTCTCGGCCATATGGAGACATCGCTAGGGTACTACAATGCCGTTGTGACTGTTGTTCTCGAACTACCACCGTTTCTGCGCCCCTCTGGAGTCTTTATCCTCCAAACGGACGTCGTTGAAATCTGCCGACTACTACCTAGTCTCGAGAAAATCGTCCATCAAAGGTTTCAAGCTCGGAACAGATACGATTCAGCGTTGGGCTCTGGGGATGGTTCTGGAGAATGTAACTTTCGACCCATCATCAAAAGCTTGGAACTCGAGGAGGTGGCATTCCCCGACGCATACGATGCTCGACAAGTGGATCCAACAGACACTCGAGACGATGTCGGCATAGCGGTATCGTCCATTTATTCCTTTCTTTCATTGTTTTCCGCAATCGACTCCCTGAGGTTCATTAGATGCGAAGCGAGGCTAAGCTCTGACCAGTACTCTCTCTTCTCGATGCAGAAATGGATTCGAAACCCACAAATCGTACATGTCAATCAACTTTCAATATGGATGGACCACAAAACACCCTTAAAACCTCTTCTTGCTACACTTGACTGGGTTATGGCACCACTCGCACTACAGCACATCGTCTTGCGCAACTTGGATAAATTCGAGGACTTGTATTCCCTTTCAACCTGTCTTTCCAGAGGCAACATCCGTTCCGCTGCTCTCACTATGAAACCAATCTCCAATACGTTCTCGGAGGGTATGTATTCGGCCTCTTCCACGATTTTTTCCCATTCAGGACCGTCTGACATGCTAGCTTCCTTAGTTCCTTGGCGTCAATTAGCGAGTCTCGGTTTCTCGTCTTGCTCATTCCTGGAATGTCTGGTATTTGGGATTGAAGCCACTGCATTGTGTCCAGCGAAATCCGTTGTCCAGCAGGTTTGCTCTGCTCTCACGCTCATCTCCTTCCTGCCGAAAACAACATGTCTGAAATGGGTTCAGTTCGATGTCGACGCTCGCAGTATCCAGCCGGGGCTTCTTGCTAGTGCTTTGCATGGGACACAGTCTCACTGGATCATCATAGATCGGATTCTATCAGATAATTTCCCATCTCTTCATAAGCTATCTATCAACCTTGTTCATACTGAACAGGATGATAGCATAGAGCTCGACTTGGACGATGGTGACAGCCATAAGAAGACAGGGTCGGATGACGCGGAAACTGCAAACATCCTATGTGGGAAGACTCCCTCTTTCGCTGAAGACGTCTTGAACCAAATCACGCATCCTATAATAACTTGTGCCGTACCTGATCTCGTCCCACAAACATCTCATATAAATACTCTGCCCGAAATGTTCTCTCACTTCAAACACTTCTTCGGCGAGCGCATGGTTCATTTGGGTACCCTTGACCGCCTAGCTGTGGAATATAACGCGGTCAGTACCATCTCCAAGAGTACTTTTCTGCCTCGCAACGACTAATCGACATGCTGTAGCTGTCGCCTCTGCGATACAATACTCCTGGAATGTGGTACAATAACAGTATCCATAGCGATCTCTTGTGAACTTCTCGTGTCTAGGCTACACGCCGATTGGGAATGTGTTGTTTCTTTTTGAGACGATTCATCTGCTTGTACTCTTGATCTAGATGTATATGGTCTTGTATAATGATAAACTATGTGACACATGTCATAATCAGATAACAAGGTTTCTTTGTTACATCTCAGGGATAGGCAGACTAGAATCTTGGAGGTATACTGCAACCAACGAGAACTACCTTTTCTAGCTTGGACTTGATGAGCATGTGCGGTTTTATCCCTGTGATGGCTCTGGGAAATCACGGCTTGTTTTCAGAGTTATCCCCAAGTGGTCAAGTCAAGCCGAATAAAGACCGGGAGCAATTCCCATCACTACTGCTCTGGAGCGAATCATTCAAGAACAAGTATCAACGCACGACACGACCTAAATACGCCGTAGACTCATCCCTCGAGAGTGACACTATTTCCCGTTTTCAAAGATCCCAACGATGAGGTGGCTGAAGAAACTAGCCTCACTACGACCAAACGACTTTCTGCCAGTTGCTTCCAATGAGTTCGATGATTTTTCTCAGTCTCTCGTAACAATGCCACTGGCTCTACGACAGATGATCGGAAAACTTCAACTTATTTCATTGGAGTTACATCCACAAATGCTCTCCAACGTACTCTCTCACCTTCCTAATCTACGATATCTATCGGTCATAGAGGGTAGCTTGGTTGAAGTAGGGTTGGACGACCTTGCTGCACTTTCCGCTGGTCCGAAATATCGAATGGATTGGATAAGCTTCGAATTCGTGCGCAGCCGAAGATACAACATCAACGGTGTTGAGCAGGAAGTATGGACTTCTGCCGCAGCCGCCATTGCTACAAATACTGCCATTCTCACCATGTTCTCGCATATTGGGAGGTTGAACATCTACGATTGCAGTTCTCTGAGTACTCCTGAGGTGGAAGAAGTGATTTCAAATGCGAGGTTACCCAGAGAAACCCTCCGGGTGGATCATCTCGACCTTTCAGCATTTATAAACGAACCAAGTATGGAGCCTTTGATTATACTTCTCGATCAACTCCTCGTCCCAGGCACTCTTCGTGACTTGACTATACGTCAAATATGGGGCCCCGACGAATTACAAGCTGCCACCCTTCTCCTGAAACATGGAAAAATTCGTACCTGGGCTGTAAACTATGCTCCGTTATTGGGTGTGTATGATACATGTACCTCGATCGGAGTTGATATTGACAAGATAATTTAGAACTTCCTGAGGTCCATGATACCGCAGCTCTCGCAAGAGCATGCGTCGGACCTCTCCAACGAGTCTCTTTGGGAGTCAGTAAAACTGATGCATCACTTCCATACGGTATTGCCTCGGAGATCTGTACATCCCTGACCACCATTTCACTTATCCCACCTATACCTACCCTGACCGAGATCGACCTACATTTCAAGCTATGTGGTCAGGTAACCCAAGTGAAATTGATGAAGGCCTTGCTGGGCTGCAAAGATCACTGGAAATGGATCGATAAGAAGCTAGCTGGCGACTTCCCTAACCTTACCACGTTTACAATTAACCTCGTTCAAGTTCCTGAGGAGGACGCTCCTCCGCAGGATCCCATGCCGTTCGGGATCCTGGGTGATCGTGCTTCCGTTCCTCTGGCTGAGGATGGAAATATACTGAACCTGGGTTATGGTAGGGTCTATGTCACAGAGGTTGAAGTTGACAACGAGGTGGTCGAGGTGATCCACCCTCCTAAGCCATGCACTGTTCAGACACGTTTTGCGCTTCCTCGCGGAAAACCGTTTTTTGATGCCTTCCGCGAGTTCTTTGAGAAGTCGATGGTAAACCTAAAGAGGTTGCATAAGCTACAAGTCGTTCATAATGGGGTACGTTATCAGGTTATATGAAGGCGCAATGCATCTACTAATGTTTGTGGTAATACAGGAGTCACCAGTTGAAGACTGGTGTGTAGTGTTAAACCGTATGGACGATGATTAGGGGACAATGATTCATGGTTGTAGCAAGGGTCGCAAGATTAGTGCAGAATTTGAGACTTGTTTAGTTCAACGGTTCAACCGACTCCAAGTTTCCAACGGTCCATGTAAATATGTATAAATATACAAAAGATGTGATATCACAAGTACTCTGCACCCATTGATATCGGCCTGATGGTCTAGTCGCATGATTCCTGCTTTGGGACCATATCGGTTAAAACTGCAGGAGGTCCCGGGTTCAATTCCCGGTCAGGCCCTTTTTAGGGCGATTGGACCGGATAGGCGCTGGATATAACTACCTTGTGCCAGTGGATACATCGACTATAGATAGCTTACACATGCATATAGGTGACCTGGGGTACTCAAAAGCAGACTCAGAACAGAATAAGTTTACGGCTGTCTGACAAACGATCGGGCGCTATAGTACCCTGGCGCAATTGTAGCACGTTACCCTCCTAAGGCGAAGGTTGCGGGTTCGAATCCCGTTGGTAGGACGGGGAGATTTGTTTTGGATCTGTTGACAAGGATCACCCGAATTAGTTAGTCATATACAAAGTTGGTATTGTGTACTATGTGCAGTTAAAGTCTGGGATAAATTGACTGAGTGATTTTACGCTCACTAAAATGGGATCAAGATCTCTCGTGATCTATTCTACCCCCAGTTCCCTCGAATGTCACCACCTTTCCAAAGGTATTTCCCGTTCCCCAAATTCCCCGTCTCAAACAGGCCAATTGAACGATTTGACTATGGTCGAT